TCGCGCCAGGCCAGCCAGACCGGTGCCCGGGAGGGACACCAACTTGGTAAGTTGTTGCCTGGGTGCTTGCCTAGTTGTCACGAGGTGCCACGTGTCGCAATTTCACTGGAGGGCCAAATCTGCCCTCATCATAATCGATTTCAAATTCGAATCTAACCTAATTCGATTCAAATTCGATCCGTTTACTAGCCTAATGACAAAAGATGTCTCTCATTAATTTGTATTCATCAACACAAAAGGGTTAAATAGATAAAAGCAATGGTACCAAACACAACCATTGTCCCTTGCGAAAGAAAGATGGAAAGTTGGAAATAATCTGTCAATCACTGTCACTTTGTCTGGTTGGTGAGCAAGGCACTTTGGCATTGCCTGGTTAGTTAAACAGAATCTGCTTACTCTTTTTCAAATTGAGCTTTATTAGAATCAAAGTAGTTTCACGTTGGATAAATTAGATTGAAAAGAATATAGACAAGGAGCCGGAACTGCTGCATCTGAAACCTCTTCCCTTTTCCCTGAATTATTGTCTCTGTTTTCCATTGGGTGGATTCGAATTGAAACAGGGATATGGGAGTTGAGTTACGAAACTAGCTCAAAAGTCAAATCCAATAAATTCCAATCTCTGGTACATATACAAAAATGGATGAATCACTCCTGATGAATATCACGAGAAATACATGAAGAATTAAATGAATAAAATCAAGTTTCTGGGTAAAAGATTAATGTATGAGATATGTGATGACAAGAGCTAGCAGCAGAAGTATGTAACCAATCCCTTGATCAATTGCCTTGCCTGCATACAATAGAAAACACCCCAATTCTTCAGTTTCAATCATACACTACTGCAATAACTAAAGAAGATGAGAAAATGAAAGCGACAGAGATAAATAATAACAATAATAATAATTACCGTCGTTTGCCGGAACACCAGCCGGCGCAGAAGAAGGAGAGATGCCCTGTCCCTGAACTACATTCAAAAGCACCAACACGAAGAAACCCACTATCGGGAGGGCGTAGAATCTCATGGAACTCATCTTCGAACAATCACAGATGAAGGAGATGAGAGCAGAAGGAAGACGTTCAAATGGATTGGCTGAGAGACAAGCAGAGATGTCTAACTCTGAAGAGAGGAAGTGGAACAGGGGAAGTTGCTCGTGCCTATATAGATAGAGAGCGAAGGGAAGGTGGGAGGGGTGATTTGGCCGCTTTTGCTTGGGCTTCCAGGAAGTGTACCCGTGACCGTGAGTGGGTTTGAAGCAACACAGTCAAAACTTGGCTACTTTTGATATAAACTCGGTGGGCCGAGGGCGGCTGGTTGACTAGGATCCAACGCCGACTCGTTGGGTGGTTTGGCTCATCCGACGAGTGCCTCGTGGCATTCACTATTATTTATAAGAAAATCTTTTTGGAAGCATGTGTGGAATGAGAGCCCGGTCTTTGACCGGGATTATGTTGAATGATAATTTAATAACATTATTAGGAGACTAAATCACATTTTTTAATTATTATTTATTATTAAATATAATTAAGTAGGATCCTCACTGAGCACATTGGTTAGAGTCGTTTTGAATATAATTAATTAGGGTCCTCACTGAGCACTCCTCACACCCACTCCACTGTGACATTGCACCGTGTATTGGGAACATTTCCCATAAACAATAACATATAATGGAAGATGTTGCCGATACATACTCTAGGATTGGTGTGAGGAGCACATCGAACTCTCTAAAAAGTCAATATATTTTGTGGAAGCTATTTTAATCTTGATGGGTTTTCACCGATAGCAAGGGTCAAAATATTGATACAGGCCGATATGTTTTTGGTCGCTTTTCTATTTTTAATTTTTTTTTGAAACAGGTCCAAAAGGATCAGTTTAAGGTCGATTTATTATTCATTATATTAGACCAAAACCCGAAACTCCCCCTATATAGATGTATCCGGAAACCCCCGATACGATACATATCGGACAATACACTCCGATTTTTTTATAATGGGATCCACGTCGTAAGATCAAAATCACTACGTGAAATTGTGAAAAAGCTCTGCCAAACAGGCACTTATGATTGGCCCCATGTGTCAGAAACTGTCACAATCAAAAGAAGATCATGGCCATAAGTGTAAAATACGCGCCAAGGTCTACAGCCACGTTGTTAGACTCACTGCAAAAGATCATTGAATTAGTATCTTTGAACTGGTGGATTCCTTGTATAGATAGAAAATTCCAATCTAACGCCTTTAGCATAGGGTATCAATTCGAGCTATAATCCTCCTCCATGTCCATCTATTCTTTCCAATCTCGGGTTGAATTGTGATCTATCCCGGTGGATGCATACATCACGCAATTGACTAGCACTAAAGAGATCGTCTTTTTTGTTTTTTAGTGATTACATCAGTGTTATAAAAACCAGACCGGATGTTGACTCGTTGAGGCTGGTTTGTATGGGTTAAATGGTTTGACCATATGATCAACCACTCAATCCATTTTAAAATATTAAAGTATTTTTATAATGTCTTTCAAACCATTTTTTTTAATATCCAAACAAGCATAAAACAACAGATACTAGGTGCATGGTTTAATACTTGGTAACATGTTTATGAGTTTATCACTTGATCTTATCTTTTACCAAATCAACATTAAAAAAAAAAAAAAAAAAAACAGAAAAAAAAATCTAAAATCGTTTTATAACTGGATCACGGTCCAAATGGCTCCGGTCCAAGTCTGACAAAACAGCGTTACTGCCCTATGATAATATGATTGGAATTAAACCAGCGACTGTAAATACCATTTTTGAGAATGGATTATGGTTCAAATAGCCCGATCCGAGTCTGACCAACACGGCTATTGCCTTATGATTGGAATCATTCCCGATGAATGACGAGAGATATTCTTAATATACATCTGTGATATAACGAGGTAGAGATGTGGAATCACTTTATGGATAACACTGATGTGAGCACGATTGTAATTTCAGGTTTTTGAGGTGGACTGCAGTCTATTTAACCTTACCATTTAACATCTTGTGCTTAGAATGGGTCTCATTATTGGACCCGAGGTTAAACCGGTGGCCTAGTGAGCTTTCTTAGATGCTGGGTTTTTGACAGTTTTATGGGTTCTCTCTCTCTCTCAAAATTCCCCACTAGAAGGGGTTTTATAAGAAGCAGATAAACCAAGGTTCCACATATCGATACACCCCGATATGCGGGATGGGGTGTATTGGGTCTTTCGACTCCGACCCCATGCTCCTTTTTTTAATTTTTTTTTCAGGGGTTGGTTTGAGGCTTGCCTTACCATCTGAAATGAGTCAAAACCCCAAAAAACCAAAATCTGATGTATTAGTGACCTATTGATACGACATGACCGATATAATCCGATATGTTATAAAATTTTGATCCTTCAGATGGTCTAAACTCTAAACTGGTCATGTTAATTTTAGCCCTTCCATTTATTTTCTTCACAAAGAATGAAAAAACAAAAACAAAAAAATCCTTTCCGTGTTGATGTTTGAATCCTGATCCATTATTGTTATTTTTGTTGTTGTAGGCATGTCGTCTCTGCTTCTAGATTTTATGGTAAAACAAGATTACTTGTTCGGCAACGCGGAGATGATGTGGTTGAAAGAAAAAACAATTGCTATCCGTAGAATTTTTTCAACTTTATTAAATTTACTTCTTGTTTTCAGAAGAGACGACTCTTCTTCTTTTTGCTGGACAAAACACAGCGAAAAACAAAAAAAGTCATTCTTCACCCAAGGAAAAGAAAAGCACTTTCAACTAAGAAAAAACCAGATTGGTTATGATTTGAGACAAGGGTGTCTTATTCTACGTATATGCATAAGTCACAACTCATTTGGTTGAAATTTGAAAATAATTGAATTGCCAATAAAAGCAAAATTTGTTATTTTTGCTTTTGTTTACCCTTTGAAAGTATGGGGGGGGGGGATTGAATGTTAATATAATTTTTCGTTCATATATTACTTATATTCCATTGCTTTGCTAATGAGTTATGCATTAGCATGCCTACCCCTGTTTATGTTCTTTTTCATTCCTTCTCATGAATTCGACAACATGTAAACCAATCACGTGGGATCCTCCATCTTCTCATAAATTATGTTCCAATACGCTTTCAATATGATCTCACTCCACATCTCATACTTCTATTTGTTAGGGCTGATGTCAGTGCAACTTGAGCAAGTTTGGGTTGGATTTTCATCAAAATTTAAATGAACCCAACCCAACTTACTCGGAATGAAGAAGTATAAAATGCTAAATTGAACCAATCCGAATTGCACCCCTAGGTGAAGATGACCATGAGTAAAAAGCACTGTTTTCAAAATCGGACTGGACTGGACGGTTGGACCAGAAAAACTGGGAACCGGTCACCTGACCGTTGATTTTGGTCAATAAACCGTTGAATCGGCCAATTAATCGTTCGAACGGTTTTGACCGTTTTCTAACTTTTTTAATTTTTTTAAATTTTTTTATTTTTATTAGAATGGGCCAGCCATTTGAGTCGAACGATCGGACCATTCGAACTGATAACCGAACCCCTGACCGGTTCAGTCACCGGTTCGTTTTTAAAAACCATGGTAAAAAGGGGTGTGGTTGGAAGAATAAAACTATCCTTACAAGTGTTCTAAAACATGAATGATTCTGGCTTCAGTGGTTTATTTATGAGATGAAAATCATTCCAAATCAGTAAAAGCCATTCTTCAACCAAAGATTTCTGGAAATGATTTGAAAATATGATACAGAAAAAAAACAAAAACTTGTGACCAATCAACCGATATTATAAAAGTGATAATCAATCACGTGGCTTTTTATCAAACTCACAGAAGGTTTTGATTGGTCAAAACCCTCCGGTATTATGTATTATTTTCCATCAAGGGTATCATGTCTTTTTTTATTGAAGTATCATTTTTTACTACTTCATAGATCTTTCAATTGAATATCTGGATATATAAATGAATCAAGTTTTATTTTATATTTTATACATCCATTATATTTAGGATCAGAATGAGATAAACACTTATTTGAATTCAATCTGATACATTTGCAACCATGTCAGAAGCAATAACAGCAAGTTTTGTTGTTTAGATGTGGAGAATTTTTTTTTTTTTTTCTGTGGAAAAGTAATTTTACAAATGATGGTCGAAAGTGGTTGGGTTGTGAATGACAATGGAGTGGGGTGGGGATGGAGAGCCACTCCCCAACCCTGTTCCTGCAAAAAACCCCATCCTTATCCTCGTCCATCCTCGTCAGTGGGGACAAGCTTTTCCCATCCTTGTGGGATCCTCACTCCATTTTATTTTTGGTTTTTGTTTCATTAAAAATTTTAAAAACAAAATAATTACAATTTACAATCTTATCAAAATAAATTCAAACATATTTAACCATATTTTAAACAATATTTATACAAATTTAAATCGGGATCCTGACATAGCAGGGATCGTAGACCCCATGGGGTGGGGAGCTCGGGTGTCAATGGGACTGGATTTGGTCCAATCTGATCCACTACAATGTGAGTCTATTACAAATGGACCAGGTCCAATGTAATCCTATGAATATTTTGAACCATTTTGGACAGGTCAAATTCAATGTCTGGACCAGTCCAATCTGTTCAAATTTGTTTTAATTTAGATTAATTCTAAACCAAACCTGGTCTATTGACATCTATATTCTTATCTTCTACCAATGGATCAAGTATTGGCTCAATCCAACCGAATCCAATATAAATTTAGGGTAAATTACAAAGACTCCCGTACTATGGGGTTAGTGACAAAGACCCCCCTATACTTCAATTTGCAACAAAGACCCCCAAAACTTTTACATTGTGACAAATACCCCCTTGACAGTTAAGTCAGATAACGGAAAGCGTAAAATTACCAAAATATCCCACTAAACTTTTTCTATTTTCTTTTCTTGCCATTTTTTCTTAAAACTAACTAACCCAAATGGAGATATGTTGCTTCAACAAAGTGACCGGGAAAACAACATACTCTGATTTTCTGGCTTCATGTCGTTGATTTCTTCTCTCTCTTTCTGTAAATGAATCTTCTCCATTGAAGAAGACAATGAACAGTACAAAGTGTAAAAAAACAAAGTAAGATAATTTCATAAACTAAAGAAAATGATAAAATAAATTAGAAAACGATGGTTTGGGTATTTGGAAAACTTTAAACAGTCATATGAGAATTTTGTTTGAAGTTAACTGACGGAGTGCCAACGAAGGG